ACATTTGTTGTTGTTTGTCTTTTGGATAGTAGCCATCCTTACTGGTGTGAGGTGATATCTCATTGTGGTTTTAATTTGCATTTATCTGATAACTAGCGATGTGGAGCATCTTTTCATGTGTCTGTTGGCCCATCTGAATTTCTTCCTTAGAGAACTGTCTCTTCAGCTCCTCTGCCCATTTTTTAATTGGATTATTTGCTTTTTGTTTGTTGAGGTGTGTGAGCTCTTTATATATATTGGATGTCAACCCTTTATCAGATCTGTCATTTATGAATATATTCTCCCATACTGTAGGGTACCTTTTTGTTCTATTGATGGTGTCCTTTGCTGTACAGAAGCTTTTCAGCTTGATATAGTCCCACTTGTTCATTTTTGCTTTTGTTTTCTTTGCCCGGGGAGATATGTTCATGAAGAAGTCATGACAGTTGAATTTTTATCTGCCATAATTTGAAAAGATTTGTTCACCTATTTGTGTTTAGAAATGTACAGATATTTCAGTTCTCCCTTGATCATGTCACATGTTTTTAGCCTCACAAAATTTGTATTCTCTAACAATATAAGAACATGTGAGCTGTAAATATTTAAATTATGGATTTTAAAGTTATTCTTAATCTTGGTTATTTATCTTAAATGAAATGTTGTTAATCTGATATTCTGTATAGGCCACCAGAATTTTTCTTAACTCAATTATATTTTATTCTCTTCTAACATTTTTGAATTAAAGAGATTCTCATTAACCTCTTAGCAGAGAGGTTTATACTGGTGTTCCTCACATCCATTTTCTTCCTCCCAGCAGCTGTGGGGGCCAAGTTCATTCATTAACACCTCACTACTTTTATTATTTATCAGTTCTTTTAAAAGGCTTAGTTGTGGAATAGGTTGAAATTGTTCCTGAAATGAGCTTGATATAAAAAAAAAAATCTATTTCATGTATCTTGTGCCATCCTTATGCCCCATTAAAACATGTAATTGAGAATTGATTATACCATCTTCCCTGGTAATGGAATTTTTTTTGTTGTTTTGAGAAGTTATCCATTTGAAATTGATAGCAGTGGCTAAAGTGGAAGCTGCAGTCAGATAAAACTTGAGAAATGATCTGGAGTTGAAATAAAAGGAGCCAGACCTGGGCTGATAATGGGATTAAAGGATCCCTCCTGACTCCTGGTGGGAGAGCCACTGCATCATTTTCATGGCTTTTTTCTTTTTCATCTTTGGGCTATTTGTTGAAGTTCTTGAAGTCTTTGTATTTGTTTTGCTTTTCCCAGCATAATAAATGCTATATCTTACTTGTGAACTAGGGGTCATTTTTCTTTGTAGGAAATGTTCTATAATTTATATTTTTCCATAGTCACTGTAAAATGCAGAAGCTTCTAAATCCCTGGATTTGAAATTATCCCTCAAATATCCTTCCATCATCTCTCCACTCCTTAATGTGATGGTTTCTTGGTGAAAGCTGGGCTCTTGCCTCCAGGGCACAAGGCACGCTAGCACATCCTCCTGAGGGCGACCTGGCCGCTGAGCGGCACAGCTGTTCTTAATGTCTGCAGTGGGCTTTTTCTTCATGGACCTGAGTGCGGAGTGGGGGGACTGCAGTGTGCTCAGCTCTCCGGGTTCTAGTTTAGCGGTCAGCCCTGAGGTGCAAAGGGGCTCTGAAATAGAGTGGGGCCAGTGTAAAGCAGGTAGGAATATTTCAAATAATGTGTAACAAGATTTAAAACTAAAAACAGTGATTTTCTTTTCTTCAAGTGATTTAAAATTCCCTAGTCCAGCCCTACAACCCTTTGTGAGTGTTGAGACATGATTTGGTTTCATTCCAAGATAAAAGTCCTAAGATATAAAAATCTATAGGACATAAAATTCAGAAACATGAGAAAATTGAACAAAAGCCAAGAGAAGAATGAAAGTTTTCAAGTTACAGAACTTTATCTCTGTATATTTATAGAAAATCTTAATTCAATTAAAACAAAATATTGTTTAATGAAATCCCCTTTGATTTCTACCTTAATGTTTGCTTTTGACCTGCTTATTCTGGCTTTTTTTTTTTAAAGATTGAACATTGTTTGAATGTCGGAAGCACACCTTTCCTTGGGGTTGGCTTATTCTCATGCACTTGGCAGTGAGGAAGCATGTGAATGGACAGGTTGATGGCTGAAGTGAAGCAATGAAAGGACATCCTCTCCAGTTCTTTCTTTCCCCTCTTAGGAGTACACTCTAAATTCCTTCCAGATTTACTAAGGACACTGAAAGGTGACTAATTCTTAAGTGTCTGAAGGATATCAAGTATACCACAGTGGTTCAACAGTTACCTATATTATTAAATCCTCACCCAAATTAGTGCAGTTACTGTCAATATATGAAGATGTTACAGAATCATTGGCTATATTCTCCATGCTGTACCACCGTCATCCCTGGGTCCAGCCTATATTGTGACTGAGAGTTTTGTGCCCTGTTATCCCCCTCACCCTCCCCATCACCCACCAGCCCCTCCTCCCCCATGGTCCCCACCAGTCCCCTCTCAGCATCTGAGTCAGCTGCTGTTCTGTTTTCTTCTGGGTAACTACCATTCTACTCTCTGTTTCTGTGAGTTCTCGTTTTTTAAATACCACAGCTAAGTAAGACACAGTGTTTGTCTGACTTCTTTCATTAAGCACAATGCCCTCAAGGCCCATCCGTGTTGTCTAGAATAGCAGGATTTCCTTCTTTCTCAAGGCTGAAAATACTCCTGTGTGTGTACATTTTCCTCATCCATTCATCCGCCGCTGGACGCTTCGTTGTTTCCATACCTTGGCTGTTGTGCATCATGCTGCATGAGTGCTGCGGACAGCTCTTCAGGGTCTGTTTTCATTTTCTTTGGATGCAGATACCCAGAAGTGGAACTGCTGGATCTTACAGTATCTCTATTTTCAGTTTTTTGAGGACCCTGCATACTCATTTCCGCAGTGGCCGCACCAGTTGACATTCCCACCAGCAGTGCACCAGGCTGCCTTTTCTCCACATCGTCAACATTTGTCACCTCTTGTCTCAGGACAGCAGCCATTCTGCCAAGTGCGAGGCGGTATCTCATTGTGGGTTTTGTTTGCATTTCCCTGATGTGTAGTGATGTGGAACATCTTTTCATGTGCTTGTTGGCTATCTGTATGTCTTCTTTGGGAAAACGTCTGTTCAGATCTTCTGCCTGTTTTTAATCAAATTTGTTTTGTTATTACTGAAGTGAATGAGTTCTAACACCCCAAAGATGTTGACGCTCCCCACAGGTAAACCAGAGGCAACAAGGTCTCAGATGGAATTATTTTTTCAAGGTTTGGGGCCCTGTGTTCATCCCAGGAGAGTAACTTAGTTGAAACTGTTTGTTCTTCCACCAAATTCAAGCTAGTTTTCTGTCTTCCACAGAGTAAGCATTGCAAAATATTTCTTTGTGTAAAAGCGCTCAAGTTGTTTCTTGATTCTTCAGCCAGTCAGATTCGGGTGGAGGCTGGAATTCATACAACCTGTTTGAAGTGGCCCATATGGCAGCGTAATAAATAGATCACCACAAATGCAGTGGTTCATAACACACGTGGGTTAGATTGCAGTGGGTAGGTCCGAAGTCAAGGCTGCTGTGGCTGGGTTCCCTGCTCAGGGTCTCACAGGCTGAGGTCAGAGTGCCACACGCCATTCTGGAGACTGGAGAGGAATCCACTGCAAAGTTCATTCCTGTTGCTGGCCAAGTTCTAGCTGTGAGTTGTGAGTCCGAGGTCTGTTTTCTTGCTGGCTCCCAGCCTGGGGCTACTCTCAGCTCCTGTACACCACCTGCATTCCATACCATACAGTCCGCTCCATCTTCAAAGCCAGCAAGGGAGAATGTCCCTCATACCCCTTGCCGCTTCTGGTCTCTTTCTCCAGGAGAAGTCCCAGCTCTTAATGGTCTAGCTCACCCAGATGACTTCTCTTTCCTCAAGTCACCTATGCCTCAGAGTTTGACCCATTCACACTAGTAAACTCTATCACACTAACAGTCCCGGGGCTTATGCAGGGTGTGCGCCCCAGGGCGCAGAGACCCTGGAGGCTGTCCTAGAAGCCTACCTACTACTGGATACAGAGGACTTGTGAGTTAAAAGCACATTTAGAAATGACCCTTGGTGCATGTACAGGTGAACAGTGGTGCATGCCTGTCCTGATTTTATGTTTTGCATCCTCCGTGCCTGGAGGAAAGATTAAACCACTAGGAAGTGTTTATGGAAGGGTAAATCTGGGGTCCTTATTTGTGTAATGAGGTCATTACTGACTGTATTGATTGTTCTTGCCTGATGTTACTGACTTGGCCTTAATGTGAAGGGTCACCATTCACTTTAATTATAAAATTATTGTAATATTATTTCATTTAACTTGCACATTGGTATTTAGTTAATATTTCTATGCCACATTTTCAGGTAAGTAATGTGAGGCTCAGAAACTTCAGCCAGTTTGCATGGTTAATAAACAGCAAAGGGAGGAAGAGGCACTTTTCCTATACATAGTAGCCACATATTTATTTGCTCTTTAACAAGCCTACTGAGTGCTTACTATGTGTCCGGCTCAGAGCTAAGTAGTAAGATACTAAAATGAGAAATTTGTGGTCAGTCTTCCTGGTTGCAGTCCTCTAGAAGCCTCAGTCTTTACCTTGTACTGAAATGTGTGCGTGAGATACACAAGTTCCATCAGTGTTGTGGAGCCTCAGGACGGAGCAGCAGACTCACCTTGAGTGGAAGGGTTGACTGAGAAGTTGTCTTGAAAGTGAACAGCTATTGTGTGAAGAACAGGAACTGCGTGTGCGTAGGTCACTGTAGGCGGAGGATGCAGCACAGGCGTGGGACTGCTGGGAGCTGGATTGCCAAGGTCACAGGAGTGAGGGGGTTGGACAGGCAGCAGGGGCTGCGCCAGCCCAACTCTGACAAGCAGATGACAGTATCAGCTTGGAGGGTTGATATGGCCGGATCTTAGTTCCTTTTCAAACCTTGACCCATATTACCCCATTTCCTTAGCTGGACTCGAGGCAGAGCACACGCAGAAGGTCCTGGAGATGGAGCACACCCAGCAGCTGAAGCTGAAGGAGCGGCAGAAGTACTTCGAGGAAGCCTTCCAGCAGGACATGGAGCAGTACCTGTCCACGGGCTACCTGCAGACGGCAGAGAGGCGAGGCGAGTTGGGGGGAGGGCCGCTGGGGGTGGGGACCCCCTGGGTACACTCAGATGGTGTCCTGATGTGCCCCCGCCACCAAGTGGGGCATGGGGGCACCCAGTCCTCAGAGTCCCATCGCCGGACCCCCAAAATAAGAGTTGAGTACATCTTGCCATATTTGTCTTGTCATTGTTTTTACCTCTTCCTATAGTTCTAGTCTTTATTTGAAGATATTTAGAAGACATGAAATACGATTTTTTTTAAAGTAAAAAAAGACAAAAGAAACATTACCCATAATTTTAAAGCCCAAAGTCTCTTGCTATTTTAGGTGATTCTTAGTCTGTGTGTGAGAGAGAGCGCGCCTCTCTAACTACTTGGTCTCAAACTGTACACAATACCTGACTTTACATCTAACTTTTCTTAATCTTGTATGGGCAGCTGTCAGGTCCTGAAAGGGGTCTGATTTAACAGCTGTGTCTTCGAGGTCAGGATGTGTGCTAGTGCAGGTAACCAGTCCGTTGAACATTTGCATTCATTTACCTCTCTGTAGATGGCATGCCCCTGTTTGTGTGCACCTCTGAGAGTCCCAAGAACAAGCTGAGCAGGGGAGAAGTCAGGGACTCGGCTCCTCCATCCGGCATCAAGACCTCAGTGGGGGTGGCTGGGGTTGGCAGGGCCAGTGGCGTCAGGTGGCTTACATTTCCTGTCACTGGTCGCCATGGGTGGTGTGCAGAAACATCTACCTGTGCGGCCACCCTCTGTTGGCAGTGCCTGGCCACCTCCCGACACTCCCTCTGCTGCCCACAGCTCTGTGCTCAGCCATCAGCCTCTTCCCTGGCCGTGCCCTGCATTTATCCCTGCCACCCTCCCTTCTCATCCTTCCTTGTCACTCAATTCTGTCATCCTCCAGAAGAACCTGAGGAAATCAAAGGCAGAGAAAGGAAAATAGCACAGAAAACAGATGGATAGCAACATCTAAATCACTGAGAGGTTCACTGTGTGGATAATGCTTTTAACTTAGTATGGATAGAACAGATTTGAAGTTTCCTGGCTTTATCTTAGTCAGCTTTTCCCCTTTGTACCCCACTGACCTAGAGTCTGTCTCCATCTAGAAAAGTCAGGCTGCATGCTCCCTCAGAGGACGTGCATACTCACCTCACCTGCTCAGGGTCCGGAGAGAGCAGGCCTTGTGTCCCCTCATGGTGGATGCTGTTGGCTTGAGCTGCCATACAGACCACCACAGCCTGGGAGCCTTAACAACACTGCTCACGTCCCCCAGTTCTGGAGGCTGGGAGCCCCACATTGAGGTATGGCTGATTTGGTTCCCAGTGAGGACCCTCCTCTGGCTTCTTTCTGCCATAATATTGGGGGGTTAGGGCTTCAATCTGTGGATTTGGGGGACATTTCTGTCCACAACATACACCCTGGCAGATCTGCCCTGCACCCCTGCGTGTAAAGAGTCAGAGAGGGCCTGGAGGGGGCGGGAAGGAGAGCAGCACCAGAGTGCTCACTGTTGGACACTTCATCCTCCTGCGGCTTAGTTCAGCACATGCTCCTGAGTGCCTGCCAAGCGTTCAGTGCGTTCTCGGCCTGGAGGAGGCAGAGAAAGTGGAAGTGCCTCTTCAGCAGCTCCCATTCTCAGGAGAGCCGGGAACGCACACTGAAGTCATGAGGCGGTAGAAGCGTGACAGGCTCATGAGCACCTTCGTATTGCTGGCCACCCTGGAGACAGGCACTAGCCGTGTATCCTCCGTGGCTCCGCTGCTGGGCTGAGGAGTGCTCAGCCTGTACTTGTTGAATAGATAACAAGTATTAAGGAATTGAATTTTTGTGGTTTTGAGCACCTGAAAAATAATCATCATTCAAAACAGTGTTAGGCTGATTTTTTTTTTTTTTAAGGTTAAAAAAAAAATGGTGTCAGGCCCATGTTGGCCCATGTGTAGAGTTTGAAAGCTGGATGGCTTGGCCTTGTTATCTCTGCTCCAGCTGGAACCGACAAGGCCTGCACTGGTAACAACGGGCGCATCTCAGGGCTGTGCAGAGCATCCTTAGCCATCCCAGCCCGGCGAGTCCCACATCCCTTTCTTACAGAGTATTCATCTCCAATGATGAACATGGGGATGTTTAATTTAGAAGAATCAATCAAAGTAAAAAATGTCTACAGTGAACATGGTATTTTGGGCCCACTCCACTAAATCAGAAATAGCAGTCTGCATTTTTCTCACTTTCCAAAGCGTCATTCTTTAAGACAAGGGCATGAAAAGTTTTATCCAGAAATTATCAGTGAGAAGGGGGAGGGACCTCTGTGATCACTTGCATGCGGGTAGAGCTGGATGGAGGCCCCCTTGCCCAGGGCAGAGGGCTTCACGTGCCCGACGAGGAGCAAGGTTGTGCGGTGCGCCAGGAGGCAGAGGGCTCAGGGCCCCGGGATCTGGCAGTTCCGAGTGCTGTTGGGGCCCAGCGCAGCCAGCTGCTTCGTGAGGCCCTGACCCAGGTTTTGTCTTACACCCGCCTGATGATCCTCTTTTCTCAGAAAAGCATTTTTATTGCCTTTCTGTTACTGCTGAGGGCCAGGGTATCTTGAAGATGTAGTTAGTTACGAGTAGATCACCTCGGAGATGCCTGTGTATGCCTACAGTTAGATCTGGTTCCTGTGCTTCCCTTGCAAACCAGTAATCTAGTGAAGCTGAATCCTCTGAGGCCAGGGGGTGCTCCCCTGTGCCCCCAGACACTCTGACTCAGCCCTGGGATGCTCCAGAGTGGACCCAGTGCCCTAGGAGCTGATGTTTGGGCCAGGGACAAAATTAACAAAATCAGAAGAGACAGAACAGATAAAAGTGCACCTGTACTAAAATTTACATGGTGCCCCCAAGAGTCAAAACAGAATGCAGAACTACCTCAAATAAAATTGCCATCTTATGATTTTAACTTTTGATGATTATCTCCCTGTGAGGGTTTTATTTAGAACTTTGAAACTTACTATGATCCATTACTGGTTTTCATTTTAATTAGGAAGTATTTGAAATATCCAGAAAAGAACTGAAAACAATATAACATACCCATTTCCAGATATGTTAACATTTGTGAAATATCTGAAGCAAAGTAAAATATTGAGATATTCCAGACATACAAAAAGGTATAATGAATAATCCAAACCAAATTCTGACCACCCAGCTGCAGAAATAAAAGCATCACCAGCATGGTTGAAGGCCCCAACCCCCCGCTTCCCTCCAGAAGTGACTTGTCTCCTCATATGTGTCCTACATGTGGATTTCACATCAGTGTGTGGTATACTTTGCACATTTTAAAAGCTTTATAGCAGTGGCTTTACACTGTATGTATCTCTACGAAGCTTGCTTTCTCATTTCTCAGGAAGGCATTTTCATTATCATCACCCATACTGATACGTTTCACTCAATTCATATTCATTCTTAGAATGTATTTCCATTGAAAAAATATACAGCTTCTCTCATGCTGTGACTTATCTGCTCTAGGAGGTCTTTGCTGAGTGTGTTTATCTTGAATGTGATCAGCTTTGCTCATTTTTTTGTTTGCTTATGGTTTGTACTTTTGTGTTCAGGAAATCCTTCCGTCCAAGTTACAAGGCCACAGGTGTAACCTGGATGTGACTCCAGGTTAAAAGAACATTCTACTGAGTTTTATGCTCAAGAGTTTTGATGTTTTCCATTTTATATTTGGTTCTTAAATTCACCACCAGTTGATTTTTGTGTACACTGTGAAGTAAGGATCCAATCATAATTTGTTCTGCAGCAGTGACCACTCATCTCGGCGCCAGCATGCTTTCTGCACCGCCTCACTGCCTTCCATCAATTCCAGCACCATGCGAGGCTTTTCTAGGCTATCTGTCCTGCTCTGTCTCCTGTTTGTCTAGCCGTAAGCCCAACCTGCATTGTCCTGGTAATTCTTCACCGAGCAGTTGGGGCAGCTTTGCCCCCAGGGAACATTTGGCAGTGGGGGCGGGGGTTGCTGGGTGTGACTGGGGTAGGGCTGCTTCTGGCATCTGCAGCACCCAGGATGCCCCACAAGGAGCACCTGGCACGTTACCAGTGCCCTCAGCTGAGGAACTGACTTCCCATGAAACCAGGGTGCGTGTGCTGGAGCTGCTCCCCCACATCCTGCGCACCTTACACCTTCTTTGTTCTTTAGCATTGTCTTGGCTGTTCTTGGCTCTTGTTCTTCTGTGTTAATGATAAAATCAGATTTTCAAGTTCTGTGAAAAGCCTGTCCAGGATTTAATTGGAATGGCACTCAGTTTCTGCAGAGGAAGAACTAGTGTCTGAAGGGTGTTGGGTTTCCCTGTGCACCACCATGGTGGCCTCTCGCTGGCATCCCGGACCAGTGACTTCTCTGTGGGGGGGTTCTCTGCTCGTCTTCTCTGATGCTTGAGAAGTTTCCTGTCTCATTAATTTAGCAAGTTTTCCATGGAATCCATCCAGCTGGTTTAGGTTTCAGTGTGGTCCGTGCTGTTCACCTGAGTCTGTGGTACTGGGGGTGAGGTTTCCCTTCACAGTCCTTAGATGTCCATTTGTGCCTTTTCTTCATGACGTATCTTAAAACACTCATTTCTGTTTTCCCCAAAGATCCATCTTGCAGTTTTGTTCTTCCTACCATACCTTTAATTAATTAATTGCTCCTCTGTAGTGCTGGGCGTTTTCTGGGTTTTGTTTCTTGGTCTAATTTAAGTTGAATATTTAGGTTAGATTTCCAGTATTCTTCTGATGCATTAAAAACTACGAATTTTTCACTTGAGGTACCAATTTAACAGAATTGTAGAAGTTTTGGTAACTTTCTGGGTATTTAAATTTTCCTGTTAAGGTTTCTCTTTTGACTTGTGAACTATTTAGAACTGTGTTTTTAAATAACATTGAAATACCTTTTGTTACTAGCTTCTAATTAAATTTATTTGTGGTTAGAGAATGGTATTTTGATTTTCTTTTCTTCCCAAGACTACCTGTACGGCCTGGTACAGCGTTTTCCTACGTTTCACGTGTATTTGAAAACAAGATTCTGTGTGATAGGTGCGGGGCTCACGTGTCCATGTCATCGAGCTTGTTAACTGGGTTAAATACTGTTAATAAATTTTGGGTTGTTTAATTATTCCTTATCCATTGCTTATGGATTTGTCACTTTTTCCTTGTCATTTTGTCATTTTTTTACTTTACCACACAAACTTTTAATCGTCTTCATGGCAAATAGATGTGCTTTTTCCCCCTTAACGTCTACCTAGCTATGTCATCTTTCTTCAAGTTAATTTTATTTACCTACTTTCCATTCTTCTCAAACTTCTAATGTTTCTGTGTGTTTGTTTTAGGAGTGTCTCCTATAAATTCAATCTTACAGTCTGGCAAATTTCATTCATTTACATTCATGATTACCACCATACTGGCTTCATACCATCTTACTTAGTGCTATTTTCCTGAAAACTTGTCCAATGCTTTTTAGTCCAATTTTTTCTAGTCCTGTTTTAATTAGAGGATAGTATAGACAATAGAGATAAGTCAAAGCAAGGGCAGAAACCAAAAAGGAGAAAGGCCTCCTTACTGCACAGGAAAACCTGCATGTTACCCACCTTCCAGCAGCCCCGCCCCAGAGCAGGTCCAACCACCGTACCAGCAAGAGCTGCCTGAGCAGTCAGCCTAGATGATGCCCTGGGACAGCACTGACCCGGCGTCCCCTGTGGATTCGTGTCGGCCAGGCTGTGCAGCAGCTGTGACCTGGATGTGGCCGTGGCCCAGGTTGACAGCCTAGTGGAGCCTGAGGCAGAGCAGGCTGATGCCAGCTGGCTGCTGACTGCCTTGTTCTGGAAGGTCCCACTTCATCTGGGGTCATCTAAACCATAATAAAAGCTTGAAGTAGAAACCACATTCTCTTTTCTCTGATTTTAGTGCTGGACTTTTGTGTCCCTAGAGATAGATATAATCAGATTCTCCTATGTCCCAGGTGAGTCAGGGGTTCTCCACAGCTTCCTCTCTCACCCTGCCTTCTTACTCATGGCTGCTCAGCCTGGGAGTTCTGCCAGAGTCAAGTCCCCTGAAATTAGATAGGATTTTGATCGCATTATTCAGAGTTTTACACATACTCACAAATTCACACATTTAATGCTTTCTTGCATCATAAGCCTTCCTCCTATTACTGTCACTGCCTTCCTCACGCCTATAGCCGAGCACAGGCTCATGGTAACATGCTTCTGCCTGACAGTGCTTGTATCTTAACAGTTTATCTTAAATGCTATTTAATGATAACTTGAAAGATGGCATTTATCTCACCTCTTTAAACGTATTATTCCACTCTCTTCTGGCTTTTATTGTTGAGAAGCTGTCAGTTTCCTTATCTTTCCTACTCTGTCCTTTGACGCCTGCCAGTTTCTCGGCAGCCACTGTATGTGAGGATATCTTCTTTCTTGGAACCTCTTCCAGCTTCTGAAACCCAGGACGTCAGGTCTTGAACTCCGGAAGGTAGCCTGTTTGAATTTGGCTGCTCTGGCCCAGCCTCTGTCTCACCTTGGAACTCTGAATGTACCCACGTCCCACCTTTCTATTTCCTTGCTGAATAGTGGAGAATTTATTCAATCCTTCGCCTATTTCACTAGTCCTCTATTTGGCTCTCAATAAATCAATTTAACTCATGCCCCCAGTTTTACATTTCAGTGAGTAAATTTTTCCTATCTAGAAATCACTTGACTTTTTCAAATGCCTGGTCTTATTTTTGACACCTTGTTCATTTTATAAGTTCCATGTTAATTCAAATATTAAAAGTAATTTAAAATTCTTGGGAAAGGATGCTAGTAACCGAGTTTGTTTCTGCTGGCCCTCATTCAGTGATGTGTTTCCGTGTGTGTGCTGTGAAGTCTCAATTGGATCTTCAGTTTATATTCCTGTGAGACCCAGGGTTCAGGCTGTGTCCACATGTGGAAGCTTTCCTTCTTTCAGGCACTGTCTGGGATGACTAGATGGCTTGTAGTTTCCTGGACCACAGAGGTGGTTTAATAAGAACATCAGACCTGGGAGGCAGCCTTCCCCCAGTGCCAGCTCAGACTGACTCCTGGTGGCCTCACAGCCTCCTTTCGCTGCTGGGCTGGCTTCCTCTCCACTGTCGGTGCTTTCATTGCATGGAGCTCTCGGTTCCATCTGCCGACTTGGAGTCACAAACCTTGTCTGCCATTACGATTGAAGACTATAGAAATATCACCAGGGCAGTGAGACTTCCACTAAGTTTGGGGGCAGCTACAGGCAGAAGGTAGGGGGATGTCTGGCCAGAGGGCGCCCCCCTCGTGCAGCTGCAGGCCGTCTCCTCTGAGGCAGCACCTACCTGCAGCAGCAGAGACCTGCTTAGTGCCGGATGTGTCTGTCTTTGCCTGCAGGCAGAGGGGTGGGAGGTGGCTGGCGAACAACGCTGCTCCACAGGATGGAGTTGAAATACCGAACTGGAACCTGTCCTTTAGTAACACATTGCTGTAAGCTCTATTTTTGAAGTTCGCAGTAGCAGGAGATACTTTATACCTAGAAAACAATGTAGTGAGCCTAATGTGGTTGAAATTAAGACTTTTAAAATACTGAAAACAAAAGCATAACTTCCTGTGTTATCTCTTCCCAGAGCCCATGGGCAGCATGTCGTCCATGGAAGTGAATATTGACATGTTGGAGCAGATGGACCTGGTGGACATATCTGACCAGGAGGCCCTGGATGTCTTCTTGAACTCAGGCGGAGAAGATAACACTGCGCTGTCTCCTGTCCTAGGTAGGCTGCGGTGACCAGCTGGCATGGACTTAGTCACACGTTTACCACCACTGCCCTCCAGAGGGAAGACACCAGAATAATCCGATTAGAGACAATGTACAGATCGCAAAGCTCCGTCACCCTCTGCTTGTGCGAAGCCCTCCGTCCACACCAGTGTCTGGCCTCACAGTTGTGGGCAAATGAAACACAAAAAGGAATTTTAAGTGCTCTCCCCAAATACCTTCAGACAAGAGAGAGCTTACCTAATTCACATTCACTTGCTTGTCTCAGAAATTAAGTTGGGTTTTTGCAGTTAAGGACTGGAATTGGGGGAGTGGTGCCCCCCACCCCGCTGTGGGGCCCGTGTGCCTGTGCTGCTCTGAGCAAGGCTTGTCTTCCTCAGACTCTTACCCTTCCCTCAGCAGACATTTGATCTCTGCTCTGGGCAGGGACAAGGTCAGCCCCTGTCCTCTATTTTGGGCCCTTTCACTCAGTTTGCTGCTTTCCCAAAAGTTTGTTTCACATTCATTCAGCAAATATACCTGGGCTCAATTTACATTTCAGATCAGACCAGTCAGGCTGGGTCCTCAGATTCTATCACAGCATTACTAAAAGCATTTGTTTTTGCACACAGTAGAAAGGGGAGGCAGAGCCTAGGGTTCCTGCCACCCCGGACTCCCCTCCCTCTGAAGCAGGGTCCCTTAGGTGGCTCGTGCTGGTGTCGTCTCTCCCTCACTCCTGACGTGGTGGCAGCGCCCGCCCTCCTGGCAAATCTTTGAGACCAGTGTTTGGGACCCAGGCCTCCCTGCCCTGGATGTGTCAAGAGATTTAGAAGCAGTGATTCCATCATCTGCTTATGATTGATTCCTTTGAGACCTGTTCTAATCCCCAGAAAACTGAAGAAATGCTAAAAGATCAAGTTTTCCTCTTACCATTGATTTCTCTGAATTCCTTCAGAGGCTGTAAAGAAGTCTGATCATCACGGTTACGTGGAATGCCTCTCCAAGGAAAACACCACGTACCTCTGGGCTTACAGTTTTACTGGATATCAGAAAGGGCTCCAGGCCTTTCGTCTGTCCTAGGTGGCAGAAGGCTCAGCTAGGGGCCACCTGGCTGCCTCACGTAGCTCAGCCTCTTCCAGGGAGTGTCTGCACTGTAGCCCCCGGATGACCACAACAGAACACTCACACGCTGTATGTTGTGTGCGAGCACAAAACTGCCATCTGCAGTGGCAGTCCTAAATTTCAGCAGTTCTATGACAAGTTTTTTTTCCTGCTTTATTTTTTGCAGGATCTGAATCAAGTATTGGTCAGAATGAAATTATTCTTCAGGTTCCAAATTCCTCCGAGTTACGAGGCAAGCTGCCTTCCTCATCCTCCATCTGCAGCAACCCGGCTGCCCAGGAGCCCAGCGGAGGCGGAGAGTCCCCGCTGGTTCAGTCTGACGAGGACGGAGTTGAAGTGGACACAGCCCTCACCACTCAACACAGTGACGACAGTGACTCCTGAACACAGCCTGAGAGGACGGTGCGGCTGCACGCAGAACCCCACAGAGGCAGGTGGCTTTACGGAGGCTCCTGATTTTTACACAGTTGCCAATGTGTGACAAACTGTAAGAATCATTAATAAAATGTGAGGACATTCAACCGAGAGCATACATAACCAGTCTGTACAGAAAGGCTTGTGAATACACACGTCCTTCAGGCCTTGGGAGAGCAGGAAGGGTGGCTCAGGTCCATGCATGGCTTAGCACTAAGTAAAAAAAAATCTCTTTTGCAGGTAGGAAGTTCTGCGTCCTCCACACTAACTGTCAGACAGCTCTGACAAGGTGTGGGTTTCCATCCCTTCAGTAAGAGTAACAGTCCACCAACAGCCTCTACTTTGACCCCACATGCACGCATGCCCAAAGGAAGGAAAGTGGCCCTAAGCCACATTAGTACTCTGTCCTTGCTCGCAGGGACCTGGCAGCACGGCCTAGCATGTAGCGTGTGATGAAAGGCCCCATTCCAAACAGGCAGCGGTGAGGGGGCGGCAGGCCCTGCTCGACGTGCACCACTAGCTGGCTTCCAGCGGACACACAGAACAGGTAAACAGCCATTTGGTTTTGCTCAAAGGATATTCAAACCACCACCAACAGATGGCAGGTGAGCAAGAATAAAATGCATTGTTTGCTCCAGCCCCTGCCAAGGGGAAGGATTCTTGGCCCTCTGCCCATTTATCAGGAAAGAACGAGTCCATCTCATCTTCCACCAGACAGACAAAGGTCCAAAAACTTTGTTTTTATTATTAAACCTTGTAGTACAAACCTGTAAAGTAAACAAAAAACTGGCAATAAACAACATGAAGTCCTCCCTCCCGAGGGAGGGGTGCAGAGCAGCGCTAATAAATTAAATGTCAAACTGTAAGCCACAGGCAGAAGTTCACTGTCAAAGAGGGAAAGTACACAGCAAGGCCATAAGAACCGGACAACCACATTGGAAAACACGCGACTCTGTTTATGTAACTGTTAAATACGCAAACAGTTCAAGCTTCTGTAACGACCACCGACAAAGCGTATCACAGGACGTTCCTGATAGTCCCACGGGCAAGCTCAGTGCAACGGGGCAGCTACGGGATCGATGAGTCCAATTATGAAACAAAGGACAGCTTGTGAAAACAGTTCCCTTTTTTATTCCACACATACTGTACACACAGCCGGAGAAGGGCAACAGCTACTCCATTACCATGTTGTTGTTCAGTGATGTAAGCAGCACTTATAAACGTTACAAGAAAAACCCTGTAAGCATCCACTCCAACCGATGAAGAAACTGAAATGTAAGGCTTTTCTTCATCTCGTCTTCTCACCCCCCTCCCCACCCCCCACCGAGAAAAAGGCTCAAGTATTTAAAACAATTTACAGGCATTATGTACAAAAGGGATGGGATTTTTTTTCTTCTTTTTTCTTTTTGTTACAACATGAAGAGAAAAAATAGACAAGATGAGCACAAATGCGTTTTCACATTCAAAGAACTGCAGGCCGCCTTGTGGCTCTAAATGTGATCATGAACGAAACAGATGGAACAAGAAAGATTAATGCTGACTTGTGAAGGTGTAAAACAAGCAGTGAGATGAAGATGGAATGTTAGAAAGATTGCACATCTATGACACAGAAGCACTTACGGCTCCAATCAGTTTTTTTTGTCTTAAGGATGCTATTGAAGGGTTTTTTGATAAAGTAGCCAACAGCACCAAAAATAACAGAATGGATTTCCTAATGAAATCAGGCACAGGTCTCCCTCACGTGACCCTCCAAGGCAGGCAGGCTTCTCTCTTCTCTTCCTTAACAGATGCATAGTGATGTGCTGGTAGAGAACCTAGTCACTCCCATCGCCTCGTTTTGCCTACGGTTAGGAAACAACATCCACCTTCAGCTGCCATAACCACCCACGGACACAAAACGGGGGTTCTCCGGTTTTAAAAAATACCAACTCATTTTGCACATGACAGAAAAGGACAGCCAAAGTAAAGCCTTTTCTTTTCTCGTGTGTGTGTGTGTGTGTGTGTGTGTGTCCTATCCCTTTTCCTCTAGAAAAATCTGCTCACATGACTGATGGGTTTAAAATTTGTTCTCCAAACTTCACCCTCTTCAAAAATGGGTTTAAAAAGCCTTTTTTCCCCCAACAGTTACCAAAAAAAAAAAAACAAACACAAACAAAAAGGCTTTTGTTAGCCACAGGGGCAATACAAATTAATACAGCCCCTCAAGGGTTTGAAAACAGTGAATATACGGCAGTTCCAAAAATCTGACTGCAGTATCTAGGATTCTAAGTACAAAAAAAAGTTCAACAGTTTAATGCTAAAACAAAGTTAGTTCTCTAAAACCAGAAGAAAATCTTCTTTCGAGCTAGTGCAAAGACAGCGTGTACCCTACAGCAAGTACTCCAAACTAGAATATAATAATTACAAAAAATATAGATTGGTCGCCCATGGGTGTTGGCATCTTCACGAGCCCGAAGCACTTCTGGATGAGCCGGAGGATGACAGCCGGGACGGCGGCACGTCCACCGTGGCTCTCTTGCGGGGCCCTCTTTTTGGTGTGGGTTTACGGAGACAGTTCTCAATGCTGCCGTTCTTACCGGGTACCTTGCCACAGATCTGATTCACCAGACTGATGATCTGTTCCTGTTTCGGATTGAAAGGAAGACAGAGTCAGCAAACCGAGAGAGCGCAGTCCGAGCATGGCCCCTCGTGTGGCAGGAGGCACGTCACCCCCTCAAACTCTGTCAAAGTGGGGATTTCTGGGCGTGACCCTCGGAGGGCAGGTCAGGGAAGCCAGCACAGGCTTTGACAATCTCCCCCAGCAATGCAGAGATGCGGTGAACTGGAGGACTAGTTAGAACACTTCCCGAGAATGAGGCCCCAACTGGGCACCTAAAATACGATGCTTGCTTGCTTCTTAGGGAGAGGCAGCTGCCATTTCTCATTGCAGAGCCAGAATGGGGCAGATGAAGTGCACAGAGCCTGCCTCCTCGGCCATCTCATATGTACCCCACCTCCTTGTCCAAAATTCAGGGGAGCCTGACAGCACCTCCAGGTGGCCACACGGTTTACACAAATTAACCCCTCAAATACAGGAAGCCTGTTAACTATACATGGTAAATATATAACTGTCCTAAGTAAGAGCTGCGTTCTGCTCTGGTTCCCCACACTGACCTGAAGCTCACAAACTCCTATAGCCTCAAGGCAGGTGGGGACGCTTGCAGCCTTCCAGCCCCCAAGGAGTCCCCATGGGTACCCCTACTCAGAGCCAGAACTGGCTAACAGGCTGCCCAGCCCTGCATGCTGCTTGACAGCAAGGCGTTCACAAAAGCCTGGGGGGATTAGGGGCTCACTTCTCTCGACTTGCTCCCTGGATGGTAACACACCCCTGAAGCGGTCCATTTTACCCTGGCCACCCTGACACTTGAGCCACTTTACGTGGTGGCCTTACAAGTAAATACAAATACTCCTGTTACTCCCTCCACAGTGAACAAGCATTGTAACCCTGACCCACGGGAACCATTTATCTGTCGGTACCAACAATATATGTGTAACATTACCACCCAACCATCCAGTTTTAAGAGAAACCACGGGAGACAATTTCAAAATGGCTTGTGGCCTGGCATGTACTTAATGTGCACCTGCTCTGGACTGGGGGTGGCTGGAACCATGCAGACACAGGGAGGGGTGGTGGTCATGGCTTTTACTCGGGGGCTTGCAGGTCAGCTATCCCAGGGCTGTCTCTCTGGGCTCTGGAAGCATCACAAACAACTGAAAGAAACTTGAAAAACTTGTTTGTAAGCACAGTCTCAGCAGCCCCTCAAAGCATGTATGATGAACATGACAATAAAGCAGAAATAGATGAGCTGCTTTAAAACCTGGTTATGCGTGGCTAAAGCCACCTCAACAGCACAGCGTTCCAGCCGGGACCTGCCTTCCGGGAAAGGCAGTAGTGTGCGGGGACAGGCCTTTCCACACCAGGCTGAGGCCAAGACGGCCCCAGCACGTGCTCAGAGATCTGCCTGCTGGATGCACCTGGGCTTTGAACAAGAGCTCACAGTGGCCTCACAAGCCATTTTTGAAACAACCCAAAGCTAGAAATACCCCAATTAAAAAAAAAGCGCAGTTCAATTCAACAGGGCCTGATCTGCAGGTTTTCATTTACTAAACTAGGACACTGACAGAGTAGGAGGCTAATTTTTTTCTCTTCCTTACTCATCAAAACCTAAGCTTCAGACAGACCCTACATTTCTGATTATTTTTCTAGGATTTTGGTCACATCCAAACTACAAAATGGGTGGAAATTGACCCACATTTGTAGTTTCAGGGTCCCCTTGGAAGAGCCCCTGGCACCATGGGCTAAGCTCTGAAAGGTGCCAGAGCTGTTCTTTCTCACACACTGAAGGTTTATTTTTAACTGCTCTGACATTTGCTATTGAAGCGAAGAAGCAAGGAGGGCTGAGTGGCTACTGCCTTGCTGAACACGCTCTTTAAAAAACAAAGATCTACTTTTAGCTTCCCAAACTTCTAGTTTAGCCAAAGGCTTATCAAATCTGACCTACAGCCTGAGCCTCTCTGGAGTCACATGGGCACACTGGCTGGCCCGGTGTGATGCCTGGACGCAGTCGCCTCCCCTGGGGCCAACCTCCTGGGTCTAACGGGGGTGGGGGGGGTGGGAGGCCATGAGAGGGATTCTCACTACCAGCAGTCCTGGTGCTGCGGCAACCCAGGGCCATGCCAGCTGTGCCCTGCACCCAGCTCGCAACAGAGAGGGCCACTCCCCAGGGACAGTGGGCCGAGCCTGGAGGAAGGGCCCCAGCTGCAGCGTGTGGAGCAGTGAGGCAGGAGGGCAGGGATGACAAGGTCTCCACGGCAATGTGAAGGGTGATCCCCAGCAGGGGCCCTGGGTCCCTCAGGAAGTGAGAGGTGCCCTGTGAGGGCAGGGTCACGTCTCCAGGATGCTGCAGGTTGGCCCTGAAACACAACTGCACCGCAGCTTGGAGGCATTTGTGATAAACAGTGCATGAGGCTGGTGGGTGAGGCCACCTCTGCAAGCCTGAGTGCCAGCGCTCTTCTGCAGCCCTGGGAGCGCTCTGCTGTCCAAGGGTCCAATCTCATTCCAGGGAACCTTATGGGCCAGGGAGGCCAGCCAGCCAGCACAGACAGGGCAGCTGATGGCATACAGACATGCCATGTGTGCGGCAGGGCACTGGAGGTGGGGAGGTCGGGTTGGATCAGGGATCTGGCTG